TTAAAGAGACAAATAACCCAATTTAAAAATGGACAAAGGATATGAATAAACATTTCCTCAAAGAAGATACACGAATGGCCCATGACCACAAAAAAGATGTTTGATACATTAACCACGAGGGTAATGCAAATCAAAATCACAATGAGATACCACTCCATACGAAATAAGACAGTTATAAACAAAAAACAGATAACAAGTGTTGACCAGGATGTGGAGAAATTGGAACCCTCATATAATGCTACTGGGACTGTAAAATGGTACAGCCACCTTGGAAAACAGCTTGGCAGTTCCTCAAAAGGTTAAACAATGAGTTTCCTTATGATCCAGCAATTCCACTCCTAGGTATACCCAAGAGGAATGAAAATATTAAGTCCACACAAAAACTTGTACTACACAGGAATGTTCATAGCAGCATTATTCATAATAGCCAAAAAGTTGAAACAATCCAACTGTCAATCAACTAATCAATGAATAAATAAAAATATGGCCTATCCTTACAACAGAATATTATGTGGCAATAAAAAGGAATGAAGTGCTGATGCATGCTACAATATGAATGAATCCTGAAAACATCAGGCTAAATGAAAGCCAGTCACAAAAGACCATATATTATATGACTCGATTTACATGAAATGTCCAGCATAGAGACAGAAAGGAGATGAGTGAGTGACATGGGCTGGTGAATTTGGGGGAAACAGGGAATGACCACTAACAGATACAAGGGCTTCTTTTTTGGGGTCATGAAAATGTTGTAATGTTAACGACAGTCGTGCTGTACAAGTCTATGATCGCACAAAGAACCACTGAATTGTATCCTTTAAATGGGCAGATGGTTTGGTATGTGAAATACATCTCAATAAAGCTGTCCTACAAAATAACCAATTATCACTGCAACGGACACTACCTGAGCACAGGCACAGACAAAGTGGGTCCAATGCAGATATTTTGTTTAAGGGAGCTCAGTGTTTAAATTTCTTAACATTTAAAAGAAAACTTTTAAATAATTAGAGTGAACTCTTCATAGAACATCTAAAATAAGTCATTCATTCCTAAAAATTTAAACCCAGGTTGTTTCAGTTAAAACTTAGAACAGTGGGACAAACCAAAAGGACACAGAAGGCACCTGACAAGGGCCAGACCTGGCACAACGTGGGCAGCAAAATACACAATGACAGCAACAGACCACAATCCATTCTGAAGAAGAAGAATCCCTGAGTCAATACTGATATAAATGAATAAATCAATGACGAAAGGAAACCTCTTCTTTATGGCAGAAAGCTGCAAATAAGCACAAAAGGAGATGATGGGATCAGAAAAATCACCAATGTGCAACGACCGCACCAACGGTTTCAGGCCAGGAGTACCAAGGGATGCTAGAACTAACGGTTGGAATTTTAGGAGGAACAGGATATCTATATAAAGTATAACACCACAAATCATTTATTAATTACAAAAAGAAACAGCAACTTTACAATGGAAAACCTGGCACACACCACCTTAACCAAAAGATCAAAGAGAAACCGCCCCGCTCCCCGCAAATGGGACAAACTGGATCACACTCCTCCTGACATAAAGGAACCACTACTCAGTAGTCCTACGAAAATGAATAACCCAGAACTATCAGGAGGGAACATCCAACAGACCCAAACTGAGGGGTATTTTTTTAAAGTAATTGATCTATACACATCAAATATGTCAAATTCATGAAAGACAAAGAAAAGCTGAGGAGCTTTCCAGATCAAAGATGACTTAGGACAACTAAATACAAAGTACTGAAAACAGTTACAAAAGGTATTAGTGAGACAACTGACAATATTTGAATATGGACTGCAGATTAGATAATAACAATGTGTCAACATTAAATTCTTGGTTTTGAAAATCATACTAGAGTTTTGTAAGACATTCTCCTATAAGAACCGCAGTGCAATTTGAAAATTCTTGATCACAAGAAAACAAACAGTGAAGTACTCAGAGGTATATGGGTATAATGTCTGCAAGTGCTCTCAAATGATTCGGAAGAAATGTGTTTAAATATACACATACTGTCATACAAACGCACGTACACGTGTGTGTGTGTGTGTGTGTGTGTAATGAGAGACAGAGACAGGAAGAGTAAGAAATGGGACAAAATGTTAACAGCGGGTGAATCTTGGTAAAGGGCATACGGCAATTCTCTCAACTACCCTTGTAGTATTTCCTGCATGCTTAAAATTACTTCAAAATAAAAAGATACAAAAAAGATAGCAGATTACAAAAATTATGAATAGGAACTGATACTGGTAATTTAACACAGACTCATTTAACATACTATTCTAAATGATCAAATAGATGTGATACAAAGCACACAACGTATTTTTTACAAGGTCTACCTGCTATTCTGTCTATCCTAAAAGACAAATCGTATTTTAAAAAGACATCAACTCAATATATTAATTAAGTTAAATATGATCATTAGACCTTTTTCAAGGTATAAAACTAAATAATTGGGACTTCCCTGGTGGTGCAGTGGTTAAAAATCCGCCTTGCACTTCAGGGGACAAGGGTTCGATCCCTGGTCCAGCAAGAACCCACATACCATGGAGCAACTAAGCCCATACGCCACAACTAATGAGTCTGCGTTCTAGAGCCCGCAAGCCACAACTACTGAAGCCCGCGTGCCTAGAGTCGGTGCTCTGCAATAAGAGAAGCCACGACAATGAGAAGCCCGTGCACCACAATGGAGAGTAGCCCCCACTCGCTGCAACTAGAGAAAGCCACGCGCAGCAACGGAGACCCAACGCAGCCAAAAATTAATTAATTAATTAATTTAAAAAACTAAATAATTATTGAACTCCTTCCCAGCTTATTGAACAGCAGATCAGCAAGTAATCGCCAAAATTAGAAATTATGGCAGAATTGGGTTCCCTGAAACTAGTTTTCTTTGTTAGCACTGACAACGCAGCTTCATTTAATTCCATTGCCATATTCTTGTCCTACACTTAAGCTAATCCACTTAAAGGAAGGAATGCTTAACTGTAGCTGTTACCCAACAAATGGCTGCGGTAGGAACACATATAGGCACAAAGAAGCTCACTTGTAAGCCATGAAACAGAACGTTGTACATCAAGAGCAAGATCTACTTTTCTTTAAACGATGAATTCTTTCCTTCAGCAACACTGTAGTCCTGCCTATCATTTTTAGATGACAAGTTTTCCAAAGCTTTATCTACATGCTTTATAAAAATATTTTATGTGTGTATCTTTAGACAAACTTTGTTTCCAAACTCCCAGAGCACTGTTTCCCTTTACAAAACAGTCACTTTTCAGCCAACTGAATTTTCCCCTAAAACAGAGACTTTAAAATTGGCTACGATATATGCAGTGTAACTTTCCTTGATTTTCCCATATATAATTAATGTTTTGATAGCTCCATATGGCCTGTTACTTTTTAAATCTGTCTCAAAGTTTTTCAACATCTTTTTTTCCCCTAACAAAAACTAGAGCAAAAATTAGATAGCAAAACACAAAGGGGAAAATTTTTTAAAAGCAAACCTAAGAAAATATGTGCCTCTTACCAGCCAAAAGGAATATACTGAAGATATAAAATTGACTATTAGCAGAAGGAGGATTAGCGACTAGGGTAGAAGGGGGCATGACTAGCCTCCCTGTGAGCTCTGCCCTGCAAGGCAGCCACTCACCACGACCGCCTCTGAGAAAGAACTGAGAACTCGGGGCTCCCGTCAGAGACCTCGCACCCTACATGGCATCTTACAACTCATTTTCTATTACATGAATTATTAGCTTGAAAACAGAAGAAAGAGTTACACCCCGCTCGTGCCCCCTTAAAAACCTCACAGTTTACAGCCCAGGTAATTAGCTCAGATATGTGTCGGTGAGTGCAGGGCTCCCGGCTCATCCTCATCTCTCAAGTGGCTGGATATCTATGTCCTATTTGCTTATCATCTGCCCTTTTCTCCTAAATAGACCCCTACCGCTGTCCTCCTATTAACAATACCTAGAACAGGTTAAAGTAAACTTCCCGTAATTTCCTATGCCATAAGCAGTATACCAGATCAAGAAGAAACAGCACAGCACAGCAAGCTGAGGAGGAGACTTCAAGGAGGCTACCAAGAGCTCAATAAGCAGGAGCTAACTCCTGAGTGTATTTTAAATGTATTGTTTCCTTCAATTCACTCAACAATCCATATCCTCATTTTACATTTGGAGAAACTGAGACTCAGAGACGTTAAGTAACCTGCCTGCGATTGGCTGAACCTTGAGCCTGGATCTGTGTGACTCAACTATGATACATACGGGCAGCCCACCGTACATGACTGCTTTTAATCTATCAAGGTAGCAATGTTCTAGAAAAGCAAATCATAAACTCTGAACTAGAATTCCATTTCTAACACAAATTTCTCCACTTTAGTAAATGATAAAAAGGTAGACACTTTGTATCTATAATATAACCTATTTAAACTTAATTTGTATTCCTAATAAATAACCTGCTAGAAATGGAATTTTCCTATTTTTATACTGGGAACACTCTCCGAAGGGTAAACATGTTACTACCTTATTATCTACACTTGAGCAACTGTAATCCACAAAGATCAAATAGAGAACTCCAAGCCCGCCTTAAGGAAAGTCAGTCAAAATCTGAATGGAATTTACATGTTACAGGAGAAAATGATTCCGTTTCTTGGTAAAATGCACTTCCCACCTTTTTCCCTTCCCTTCCTAAGGCATACTCCTATCCCTTGGTTAGCAACAGCCCAATGACCCACCAAATGTTTCCATTTATTCAACCCTCTTCTACAAAGTTATGAATGAAATTGAAAATTTTCTAAGTACTCTACTGCATTGTGGTATTATAAAATAAAGTAAAATTCCATTTCTAAAAGATTCTTATTTTCTTTCAAACAACATGTTCCATAAATCTGCAGAGATAAAGTACTTTTAGCCATAATTAATTCAATCTACGAAAGTGACCACACATAAACCGTTCGGTTGTCGAAAGGATATAGTTTGGAGGAAGGAAGTTCCAGCTCAGGACTTGGTTGGCGAGGGCCAGGTAGCGCTGGAACACGGATGACATCTGGGCGCTGAGGTGCTCCCGCCTGCTGAATTCCTGCAGGACTTCCACCGTCAGCAGGAAGATCTGACGGAGGTCTTCTTCCTGCAGTAAATTAACCACACGTGTTTTTGTATCTAAAGCTTATTCAAGATATGTTCCCTTTTAGAACCATAAAACAAAACAAACAAATAAAAACCTTAAAGCTTCCAACAGAAAATATCGCTTCTTCAAGGACATCTTCCATTTTTAGGCCTGCTTTTACGTTACAGTGATGCCGGTCTGAATACATTTACCGTCACATAAATGCCACTCCCTAGAGAAGCAGGTCTTGACGACCACGACAGAGCTGAGGGCTCAGCAGCTTCAGTGGGAGCCCTCGGATTGAAACCAGTGCCTTCACACAACTTTACTTCAGAGCCAAACAATACACACGAAACAAAGAGCCCACACCATCTGCAATAACACTGAAATACACAGCCCTCTCTGGCATATAGCCAGGCCTATTTTTAAGGCCAGCGGAGTCCCACCAATTGAATTAGTTCTATCTAAACACAATAAGAACAAAATTAATAAGCTAAGGGTCTTAATAGTAGCATTTCCTTTTTAAGACTAGAATTAAATAATCTTAAACTGTCAACTATGTTCACCATACCTATCGCTTTACTATATCCTGTGAAATCACAACGCAAACCTTCAAGTATAGGCTATTGTTCAACTAGATAAAAGCAATGTCCTCACTCCATTAGCAACAAATTGAGTGAAAAGTGAGTGATCTAATAATTAAAACACAAGAACAAAAATACTGGTACCTGAAAAACTCTTTTGCAGTTGCCGTGGAACTCCATACTCAGTCCAATGTTGCTAGTTTTACTTGAACTTGAGAATTCACTCAATAGTGCAGTTAGAATAGAACAGGCCAGAGTTTGCTGTAATTATTTGATAACAAATCATTGTGAGGCATTATTTTCCCGATGCTTTGTTTCAATACAATATTTGTTCAAACATAATGAAACATTTTTATCTTTAGATCTTCCATGGTATCTTGAGATCTTATACCTACCAGCCAGAAAGTCAGATATGACAAGATAAAGATTAGCTCTCCTTTCCCAGTGGCCTTGGGACTGTTTAGTATTCCTCCTCACTCCAGTTACACAAACCTATCTGAGACCTGAACTCAGGACACACTCCTGAGTACTCCTACTAGTACTCAACTACAGAGTGTAAATGATATTTTAAGATGATCAGTATTTAACATATCATTTCATTGAATTCACACAACAATCCCTATCCCCATTTTACATTTGAAAGAAGTGAGATTCAAAGGGCAGGTAATTCGGGCCAGCTGAGATTTGAACCCAGGTCTGTCTGACTCTACGTTCTGATGTCTGTAAAATGTATTTCCAAATAGATGAAAAGTGAAACGGATTTTATGGTCTCCAAAACATTAACCACGTAGTACTCCCAAGTTTTTAAAATTGAAAATGACGATTTTCCTTCTCAATGGCTGTATCCAACAAGCGTCTACTCTCAACTCGCTGCTTTTATTCATGGACTATTCAGAGTCAAGGTGCCATGATGGGGCTGATACAAATTATTCTGGCAAGTTTCCAAGGGTTACAGAGAAATATGCACACTACCTCTGAACAACCGAAAGATTAAAGTCAAGATGATACTATTTATGCAGCTTATACAACAGCTGAGCACGGTCCTACCCGCCCACCAACTGCAACATCTTTGCTCAGAAATGCTTCTGATGTCAGTACCTTGACCTTACAGATGCTTATCTTGGCAAATCTTAGCAAATATACATAAAATTAAATTCCCAAAGATTAGCATGAGTTGATATTTGTTAAAGATGAATGATGGTTACATAGGTGACCAACAGACTATTTGTAGTATATCTGTATATTTGTGTATATGTCTAAAACTTTCCTCTAAGAAAATGTAAAAAAGAATTAAATTCCTATTTGCCTCAGTCTTAACTAGGGTAAGTATGATGTATAATTAGCAATTACGATGGCACACCAGCCCAGAGACTCAAGCAGTTTCTCAGACTTTTCCACACCAAGAAGCCCTAACAACACACAATACGTGCAAATACCCTTGGGAATCCGGGGGTATACAGACAGGGCTGTGTTCAACAGTAAGTCCTCTGACTATAGCTCCTTTAGCTTAAACACTCTCTCTCTCTCTCTCCCCCCATCTCTCTCTGTAATTGTACTTCAAAATATATTGATACATCTGTTTTAACATTACAATGTCCCCTTTTACCCAATTTTCAAGAAAAGTGTGTAAGTTCAACTGCCTTTGCATGGACCCAGGCACAAGGAGGAAGAAACCAAGCATTGAAGAGCCTCTTACAGAGAAACAGTTTATCACATACTTCATCTTACAGTTGAAAGAGACCTTAGAAACACATCAAGTACAATCATTCACTTTTTTAGTTAACAAAATTGTATTTTAAAAAATGGCTTTCTTTTAAAATGGTGATTAATGACCAAAGTGCCAGCAATCAAAAGTTCAGATACATTTAAATACCGTTGGGATCAACCATGAACAGTTTTTAAATACAGCTAGGCTTTGGTGGGGAAAGTGGGTAGTATTAAATTCAAATTAATGAAATTCAAAAGGAAAAGTTAACTTACAAGGATCTACCATGATGGATTACAAGACCATATGATCCTGAAAACAATCTTTCCCCATATTTTTTGCTCTTCTCCTACCCTTTCTAAATAAGACTTCAGTGAACAGGACACTATGAACAGATACCTAAATGTTTAAGAAAATGCGTCTTACTAAAAAAAGGAAACTAATTTTGGAATCTCAGGTGAGATAATCAATCTACTGAAAACAGAATTCATGCACAACTTATACAAAAACATGCAAGCTGAAAAGAACCCAGAAGCACCATCAAACACAAACTTATCGTTCTTACCAATAAATTATCTATAGTAGTTTTGCACAAGTAATTTAGCCACAAATTGTTTTTTAGTGCCAAACTATATTCACCACAAAACAACATATTTTTAGACTATGACCATATTTAAATTTTTAGTAACACAACTCTAATTAATGATTGAAGCCAACATGTACTCACAATAAAGCTTTATTTTTCTGTGAAATAAACACTTCCTAGGATTACAAGCATGTGTTTGTGGTCAGTGAGCGCAGAAAAGGGCAGGAGCAGTGAAAAGGGACAAGCTTTTTGAGGTTACTACTTAGGAAAAGGAAGAGTTTTTAAAAGTAAAAGCCTCAGCAGACAAACAAGGAGCCCTCGGTGGGATGGGACTGCTTTTGAGATGTAGCAATAAAGACATCCCACCACAACTACAAACTTCACGACAATGAAGTACAAATTCACCCATAAAAGAAAGTGTGTTCTTAGTGCATAAGTATGAACAAAACACATTCTTATTGTGGAATTAGCTTGTTGAACCTAAGAATATTTTGTTTTTAAATAACTTTTTCTTCCTACAAAAATAACCATCCATAGGTTACTACTGTAATATTTGTTTACAGCTTTCCAATTTTGAAATGCAGTTATACATTATTTATTACAATACCATTACTATTAACCCAATGTACTGTTTTGTATTCTACTTTTTCCACTTTCCACTTATGAAACAGAAGGACAAATTTTCCAAAACAAGTGTCTCCTTACCAAATTTACCACTCAAAGACTTAAGAAATACATAAAAATAAATTATGCAGCATGGTTTGTGGTAATGCCAGAAGTCAAATGTCCTGGCCTTGACCCACCTAAAATTACCAGCTTTATAAGAACTAAAATTCAGTAAGATATTTTCATCATTAAAAGATAACCAAACAGTTTAATTGCTCCTTAACCTGGAAGCCCTGAAAGGATTTGAGATTAGCATCATAAACATTAATTATAGGGAAATCCCTGGCGGCCCAATGGTTAGGACTTGGCACTTTCACTGTCAGGGCCCGGGTTCGATCCCTGGTGGGGGAACTAGGATCCCACATGCCGCATGGTGTGGCCAAAAAAAAAAAAAAAAAAGATTATACTACTGTGGCTCAGAGGTGCTAATTAAGAAATTCCTGGAGAATGATGAATAGGAAGCACTGATTGTACATTAAAAGAGCAAAGCACTCTGCACAGATCAGCAAAGCACTTCTCCCTATTCACAGAGGAATCAAGCACACACCGTGTGTCTAAGACGCATTACCCGATACGTTTATTCGTTTCCACAACCATTTATCAATTAAATCTCACTAACATAAAGTGACTTGCGGAGCAGGGGCACTGAGACAGCTAGGGAAGCTCCTTCTCGGGACAGAGAAACGGAGGAAGGAAGCGGGGGAAAGGCACCCACAAGTTCTTGTCGTCCTTACCCTTGTGGACGTTCCGTCTGCCTGCTTCACACTCTAGGTGTCAGGGGTCACCCCGAGTGTGTTACCTCTTGACCCCCCTCCCTCCCCCGACGGACCAGTGCCTCCAGGGCTGCCTCTGCCTCAGGCAGGGCTGGATCTTATTTCTGTACTAGAGATGGTGATGCCAATACTTCAGAGGGTCGGAGACAAAACCTGTGGTGGGTACTGCAGAGAGGTGAGTCTCAATGAAACCAGCTGAAAGGTGACGGACTGACTAGTAAGCAGCATATATGGGGTTGTAACACTGAAGTTAACAGGGATGAAGCCAGTATAGAGTACCATTAGTACAAATCTTAGACTTCCAAGCGGCTCACGTGGCAATGCTTCTCCAGGATCATGAAGAATTCAGGTAGTATCTTAATTTTCCAAATGTAGCAAGCAAACACTTTTAATGAAACTTCCTTCATGTAAAATTTTCCAAGAGAATCATTTCTAAGGCAATGATTACATGACGTGGTGACAAGGAGAGCACCTGGACTCTGCTGAAACACACAGGGCAGGGCTCCCAGCCTACGACACTTGGGGGCAGAGCCCCAAGCCCCGATGCGCGTCTGCCCACCGCTCTGCCCAATCACTCTGTCTGTGCCTGTCACTCGCTGCTGCTGGCCACTGGACCAGCACTAACAAGCAGTCCCAAAGTGACAGCTTTCATTTTCAGTAAGTCAGAAACCAAACAATAATCGTTATCACAACTATCTCCCAATAAATTCTGAGTAACAACACTCTGCAGTCTCTTTCAATAGTGCAGAAAAAGAAGTCAGAAAATCTGCGCTCTGAGAGTCCAAGATTTATCACTTCAAGTAACTGAGAGCAAACCACTTCATCTACCTGAGCCTCGATTTTCTTATCTATGAAAAGGGCTATTACCCTGCACACTGCAGAATTCACACGATTGTCCTAACCTTCAAATCAGATAACGCAACAAAAAGTACTATGTAAATGTAGCAGGTTCTGATAAGATATAAGGTGAAGCGGCAACAGTATTCTCATCCTTATCATAAAAAATAACCTATTTTGGGGGCTTCCCTGGTGGCGCAGTGGTTGAGAGTCCGCCTGCCAATGCAGGGGACACGGGTTCGTGGCCGGGTCCGGGAAGATCCCACGTGCCGCGGAGAGGCTGGGCCCGTGAGCCATGGCCACTGAGCCTGCGCTCCGCAGAGGGAGAGGCCACAACAGTGAGAGGCCCGCGTACCGCAAAAAAAAAAAACACAGAAAAAACCTGTTTTGGCGTCTTAGTTCTTCTTGACTGTTATCTGCAATCCACCAAATTAAAATCACAAAATAAGTTATCCATTAAAAAAAATATATACTAAACTAAAGCATCACTAGAGCAATAGAGTGCATACTCACTAAACATCACCTGGATTAATAAACCAATGTTTGCCTCTGTGCCTGACACGACATTAACACAAGGGAAGGCAGAAAATGAATAAATGATGTGCTCCCTATTTTTTTCCCTACTGATGAATTTCAAAGAGAAAAGTTAAATATGTAAAACAAGTAGAAGAAATTCAATGAGGTCTCGAGGTTATGAAAGAGTCTAATATGTTTTCTTTCACTGAAGTACTAAAAAATCACAAGTTAATTCACTGGCTAACAACTGAAGTAACTGCTGTCTTCGCATTAAAAATCTTTCAGCAGAATTCTCATTTCCAGTAAAAGACACTAATTTCATGACAGTGGAAAAACACCCTTCAGAGACAGTTTGCCTTACTCTCCAGCCTACTGTCACAAGAACAAGATACTCAAACACTAACTCCAGCTGACAAAATAAAATACTCTTGTTCAGAGAGAGGACTGTCTCTTATAATAGCCTGGCTCTTACCCCAGGAGCTTTATTACCAAGAATAAACTTTATGAAAGGTTGCCATACATAAAGCAGACTTCCAGCTGCTCCTCTAAGCAAACATCAATGAGACTTGTGATAAGAGAGATTAAGTTGCTATCACGTCCGGGGCAGCACTGCAGCACACGGGGAATTTCTCACCCTCTTCTCTCTAGCATGGCAAAGAGGAAGAAAGGAGGCTTAAATGATGCGTTCAACAGCTTTAAAAGTGACTTAAATAGGCCTACTTCTTTCAAAGGAACTAAAACAAACATGAAATAGGTTAAAAATTTAGCTTAAATGCTAATTAAAATTAAAAATTTGACCACTTTCTTTGGGAAGTGAAGCCTCTGTATGTATCCCTCTGAGGTCTAACACCACTGCAAAGCAAGGTGAAGCAGCCACAGAGGGAGGACAGCCTGTGCACAAACTGGAGCAGACAGCACAGAACGTAAGAGCCGCACGAGCACTGTCCCTCTGAGAGGACATCACGATACACAGAAAACTGAATGGGGCTACAAAATACAATCTCCACAGGAAATCGTTTAACTCATAAATATCTACAGAGAACAAAGACCATAAGATACTTCTCAGAGCGTTTAAAGGAAAGCTAATACGTTGGTTATATATTTTTTAAATACTCAATTAGTTTCCGTCCATGGATAATAGTATAAATACTTTCTTCTGATTTTCAACACTTAAAATATTATTTGATAGAAAGAGATGATAGTTCATGTCCTAAGATTCTATAAACAAAGGGCTGTGAAACCACTAACTAGGGACATAAAACAAACATTCACTGAATGCTTACTAAATGCACTTAATATTGTCTTTCCTCTTCTGGGCCTGGATATTACCAGATTTATTCCACGTATTAGTAAATCACCACCTAGAGAAGTTAAACAATTTTTCAAGTTAAGTAGGTAGTAAATGGCAGAGCTAGGATTTGAACCTAAGTGTAAATCCAAAATCAAAATCTGTGTTGTATCATGTTATCCTGCCCCTAAACTCATTTAAACATGCATACTTGACTAGCATGATGCTGGACCAAAAAATACACTCTTAGAAAGCAAGCAGGAAAGCCAGACTACATACAGTTCCCAGTCAATTAGGGTTTATTGGAAGCATCATTCTAGAAGATGTGCAAGGGTAAAGTTAGTCACCTAACTTAATAATTCATGAGGTCAACCCTTTCTTTCATCCAAAAAAAACCAGAGTCAGTTATCTCTTCCTTTCAAATATCTCTTAAAATCACCTTTATAAAGAAAGTTTCTAGCCACCATTGTATCAATATTCTGATTTTACCATTTTACTTTCTTATCAAAGTTTTAAACCTCTCTCCCACTGCTATTCATGTCTCTGAGACTAAGAAAATCTTAAGTAAATTCTTGAAGCGCTCCCACAAATTCTTAACAGTCTGAGAAGAAGACAGAGAGGAAGATAGATTAAAATGTTTTACTGGTCTGTAACCTCTAACCTCATTTTTTAGACCTGCTGAATGAGCAGGAGTGGCTCCAGGCAGGAATTCTGAACTTGCCATATAAACGCAGGAATGCTTTCTGAGTTGTGTTTTCAGTGTGGTCACCAAAATAAATTCATCCAGCAATCTTGAAATTAAATTCTACCCCCCGCTACTGACTCTTACCGCTACAGAAGTTCTCAACCCTGTTAGCAGAAATTCAACTTTAAAAAACTCTTCCTGCTTTGGAATATTTCACGAGGATATTAAATTTATCCACTCCCCTCAAAGTGTATGTACTGTGAACAGAGCAAAATCCTCTCTAACTAGACAGCTACATCTGTTCCAATCATTCTCAGAACATCAGTTATTTCAGTGGCTCAAAAAAACCAATTGCCAGGTTGCAGTGGGCCTACTTTTTATGGTGGGTCAAATTACCCAGGGGAGAGGAAGCGGAGAACACAATTCCCGAGTGTGTGCTCATTCCTGAGGGGCCAGGGCTCCGGATCCTTCGGCATCCGGCTGCCAAGAAGCTACTCGTGGGGGTGAGAACAGACTGTAGAAATCCTACCTTAATACTGAAACCCCAGTCAACATGATCACCCAACTACAATCATAAAAGCAGAGATCCCAGAGTTGCTGCTTAAGTTCCTAAAGTTTAAATCCTGGTCAATCCAATGAGCTGGACTCCTTCACTGCAGATTGTCAAGTGAAACAATGTGTCACCTGACACATTACGAAGAGAGCCAAAATGATGAAGAGTAACTTGATTTAGAGCAGTAGGGGCTGGGATAATGTTTCCAAGTAGCAGCCTCCGTTCCAAGCCTTTTCCCTACGAGTTCTGGCTAGTCAGACCACCACTTGATTTTCCCTTGACCAACAGTGACGTCCCCGTTGGACTGCGCACACGGCCATTAGTTAGGCAGGAAATGCTAACAGAAATCCACGGAAATGTGAGACTACGGATGTACTGACACAATGAATGTGGGCAGCCCTGAAGCATCAGTATCTCGAGAGCAAAGCTCTTCATCAGAAATGGGAGACTATGTCTACCAATAGAGAGAATTTTGAGAGCATATAGGTTATTATTAGTAAAAAGTAGCTTCCCAATCATTTTCACCTCAAAACATTGTAAATGGAATCTTATCTGGGGACTATTTTCAACAGAGCTCCTCACTATATAAAACAAAGCCAAAATAACTCATAAAACGTAATGATTGGGCTTCCCTGGTGGCGCAGTGGTTGAGAGTCCGCCTGCCGATGCAGGGGACACGGGTTCGTGCCCCGGTCTGGGAAGATCCCACATGCCGCGGAGCAGCTGGGCCCGTGAGCCATGGCCGCTGAGCCTGCGCGTCCGGAGCCTATGCTCCTTAACGGGAGAGGCCACAGCAGTGAGAGGCCCGCGTACCGCAAAAAAAAAAAAAAAAAAAAAAAGTAATGATTCAAACATGCACATCTTCGAAGTTGTTAGTTTTAGATAAACAATTAAATTTTAGAATACTAAGATTAAGTGTTAAGAACATAAAATTAGACCTTTAGATATTAAAGTCTCTAGACTACATGGTCCAATATGGTTGCCATTAGCGACATGTGGCTATCTGAATTCAAATAAAATTTAATTAAGATTATATAAAATTAAAAATTCAGTTCCTTGGTCACACAAGTCACATTTTAAACACTCAAAATCAGCATATGGCTAGTGCCGTCCCACACATTGGAGAGGAAAGATACTGAACACTGCATCAACACAGAAGGTTCTACTGGACAGCACTACTCTCGGAAGAAACCTGCCACAAAAATGACATAGAACACAATATCTACACAATCAATAATGAAAACACAGATAGAAACATTCTGTATCTTGATTGTGTGACTGTTCACTGGTACACAGAACTGTCACAACTCACTGAAGTGTATATTTTCAATGGACGCAGTAACGCATGTAAATTACTCCTCAATAAAGTTGGTAAGGAAAATTCCAAAGGAAAAACAAAAAATACCTAGGGTAGATACAGGAAATCCTGACAACTTGCTCATTTATTCCTTCGGTGGAGACCCTGCTGGGTCACTCCCAGCAGAGTGGAGGGCAGACAGCAGGAGCGGGAAGGTGAGCACACGTCTGTGTGGCGAGGAGAGACCCAGACACTGTGAAAGGGAAGGGACGGTGTGCGCGGTCCTCCTAAAATGACCACAGCACCCTAACTCACACCACAAACAACCTAAAATCACACCACACGCCGAGGGCCCACTGAAGACACCAACCATACAGAATCGTAAGGGGTACAGCCTCACAGATATCTTTCAAATGATTAAAGAAACTGGGAAAGTGAATAGACTACCCAAAATATTTAAAGATTTAATACCTGAGAATCAGAAGAGCCAAGACTGGCACAACACTGTAAATCAACTGTAATTCAATGAAAAAAGAAAAAAAAAAAAAAGAAGAGCTAGGTATTGCCAACCCCAATTCAACATGAGTTAAATCTCACCCAGCTGATAAAAGTCAATGGTTCCAGCCAACAACCACAGCTGATCAGTAACACCAGCTCCAGCTCCTCTGGCCTCTGACAGGGCGGCCACAACCCGTCACCCTCCCAGCTGACCGGTTCTCACAGGCAGACAGGAGATGGAGAGGGGAAAAACCAACCAGGCTTCCCAGAAAACTCAGGAAGCTGACAGTCACACCTGGTAGTCATGGCATACCTTGGCCTATTAGTATTGCAACATTTAAGAATTTTTATGTCAGATATCATTTTATATTTTATTCACATTTCCATTATCACTAGTACTTGTCAAAGGTTTATTAAAAATAGGGGGAAATGTTCAACAGAAGGGAAATGGTTAAGAATATTATGGTACATTAGCTTGTAACATTTGACACCATTAAACAGGATTACGAAAACCATACGAGGTTTATGAACTTATGATGACTGTGAACACTGGCAACATAAAAAACAATCAAATGAAAAAGCAAAGTATACTGTATCTACAGTACGTACACATGTAAAAAACGGACTAGAGGAAAACATGAACAAATGGAAATTGCTTGATTTCTTAGACTGTGCCTTTTTTCTTTTATGTAGATATCCATTACTGTTGCTATAACGGTATTTGCGTAAAACAAAATAAAACTTTTAAGTATTTACGAATAGTTAGCACACTTACCACAGTGGGGTTGCCACTACTTATCAACTGGCTGACTTCATGAAAAATGCTTTTGCAGTCAATTGATTTATCTAATGATCCTCGTTTTACAATTACTGCTACTGCTAATAGAATCTGTTCCCGAACATACTTTTGGAGGCTGTAAAACATAAAAATCATTGTGAAAACTTTTACACAAATCCAATATAAAAATACTCCCCGATTTCTCACTGTGCCTGCAGCTGCTGACAGCACGGCTCACATCTGAGGTAGCGTGCTCCTGGTTATGCGCTGACTCCACAGCCAGAGACCTGGGTTCCAATCCACACTCCAGTTATTACTGGCTATGTGACCCTGGGCAAGACCGTTCACACTCAGAGCCTCAGTTTTCTCACATGTGAAATGGGGATAACAGTAACAGGGCTGTCACAAGAATTACATATTCTTAACACTGCACCCCGTGCACACTAAGCGCTACGTGAGTGTCAGCAGCTCCGGGTGGTGTTATCAGCTCACTAAGCCAGATGAACATTCTACCAGTTAAGAGCCACATTCGGACCTAATCTCCATCTCCAACCAGCAGTATCATCTTAGATCCATTCCCTTTAACGTGGAAAGGCAACATGCTAGCTAGCCAAGATACAACATTATGGAAACATACACGCTCTTCTAAACCTTTGTAAATGTTCATATCTAATGTTCATATCTGTCCCTCAGTGTGGTGGCAGAAGCACCCACCTCAGATGGAGACCTCCTACAAAGGGCCATTGGGCCACAAGGGCACACGGATTTAACTGCCTTTTCACAACGGTTTCTTAAAAAGAAGGCTCAGAAAACATAATCCTAAACTATAATCCAGCCTCTAGAATGCCGTACAGATACAACCACCACATGCCCTTGGGATAAAACCCAAATTCCCTAACACGGCTTATAAGCAGTGGGTCCCATCCCAGCCTTCCTGGGGTACTCCCAATTTACCCGCTGTCCAGAACAATGATGAATAGTGCTTTCTTTTACTCTGAAAGGTGTCCCCATTTGGACATAAACGATATGGCCACCCACTTCTAATTAGGGCCCTTCATGGCCAGGGATCTGCTCCCCTCTCATCGCAGCCCCTCCACGCACTCTCATGACCACAGCTACACCAAACCTCTTTCAGTTCCTGGCCTGTAAATGCCACTCTCTGCACGTGGCTGGTCAGTACACAGAAGGGCTCCCTCACACTTCACACAACACGAAGCGCGCCGCGCCGAGCATGCTGCTGTAGTCCCACAGAGAAGCACGCCGCCTGCTGCATAACACGCACTCACCAGACATTCATACAAACGAACGAACGTGTCTCGCTCTGTCAAGAACGAAAAGTATTCCTTCAAAACAGACTTGAAGCATTCACTAAGTGAATAAAAGCAAAGATCCTACTGTGTGCAAGAGTGTGACTTGACCAAAGGGAATATTCGTACTTTTGAGGGGACACGATAGTTTCAAACACACTGACTGCTACTAGAAATGTACACAAAGCTAGCTTTAAACATTGTTACTGGCAAAAATTATAAATTACTAGGAAAATAAATAATAATACCCAACATTTATTGAGTGCCTATGACCTGTCTTTATATAAACTAACTTCACAAAAATTAGTACACTTAATCCTCACAATCTTTTTAGTAAAGTACTATCAGTACTGTTATTCACTCCATTTAATAATCAGAAAATTAATGCACAGAGAGGTTAAATAATTTGCCCACGGTCATGGAGTTAAGTGGCAGAGGGGGACTCACAGCCCCTTTCTCAACCACTATGCCATACTGCCTTTAAAAAAGTGTGCCCTGGTGGCCCAGTGGTTAAGACTCTGCACTTCCAATGCAGGGGGTGTGGGTTTGATCCCTGGTCAGGAAACTAGATTCCACATGTCATGCGGTGTGGCCAAAAAATAAAATAAATAAAAATTAAAAAGTGTACCCTGCATTTCACTCTGTGCAAATTTTAATCACAATTAGGAGGAAAAAATAGAAAAGGAAAACTTCCATGCATGCAATGGGAAGTAGAGAACATTACGTACTTAGTATTCTACAGTATAGAATACTGTATTCTACAGTATTGTAGCATTCTACCCATGCAGAGCACCAAAAGTTTTAACTTGACTCTAATCCATTCATCGGACATTCTACAAGATTAAAATGTCTGTGTCATGAAAGACAAAAAAAAGGCAGAATTATTCTAGATTAAAAGAGACACAGGGCTTCCCTGGTGGCGCAGTGGTTGAGAGTCCGCCTGCCGATGCAGGGGACACGGGTTCGTGCCCCGGTCTGGGAAGATCCCACATGCCGCGGAGCGGCTGGGCCCGTGAGCCAAGGGAGAGGCCACAGCAGTGAGAGGCCCGCGTAGCGCCAAAAAAAAAAAAAAAAAAGGAGACACAACAACTAAATACAACATGTAATCTGAGGCTAAACCCTGGATCAAAAAAGTAACCTATAAAGGAGAAAAGGATATAAACAGCATTTTCCAGAACATTGGGAATATCAAAATATGAGGTCAGAATTATATTAAATAATATAAATATAGTAATTATATCAGGAGTATTGAGATGATCTCTTAGAAGAGACATGCTGCAGTCTTCAGGGATGTAGTATCACTGAATGCTGGCTGAGCCTCTACTAGGGAGAGGGCACGTGAGTGTTCCCAGTACTATTCCCAGTACTACTCTTTCAACTTGGCTGAAAACTTTTTTTTTCTTTTTTCCAAAATAAGAGTTTGGGGGAGTTCTCTGTGGCCTAGTAGTTAGGATTCTGGGCTTTCAGTACCATGGCCCAGGTTCAGTCCCTAGTGGGGGAACTGAGATCCCACAAGCTGCACAGCAAAAAAAAGAAAGAGTTTGGGAGACAATATATAAGTGAACTATTTCAATGTGGAACCCTACAATCAACTCTAAAATAACTCCTGAATCAAAATTATTACAGTGAGATGATTCTGGATGACACAAGAGATGACATGCATAAACACAGCTGAAACCGGCCGAGCTCAGTGGGGGGTGGAGGTGGGGCTGTGATAAATCAGCAGCTCCAGGGCAAGTTGGTATCCACCCAAAAGGGTTCATTAAACAACGGATTAAAATGTAAATAAAGGAAGAAAACCAGCATGAAGGAGAAGAGAAAGGTTTGAAATGGGGGCAAGTTTTCCTTATTCTGTTAAAATCAGAAAAAATAAGCCACACCCTCACTCAGAGATATGTATACCTGCTCATCCCTGGAACACGCTGTCCATTAAACCTGTAATGCTAATAGGCTAAGTAACACTTGGTTTTTTCCTCTCATACATTTTTCGATATGTGAAGCACTTATTAGCACTTTACTGAGTGCAAAAGTCATGCCAGTAATTATTATTAAATATCATGAACTCAGAGGCTGTCAGTGAAGTCAGCAGGAACAAAGGTATGACAGCACGCTCGAAAGTTTTATGCATCTTTATTGCCGTCAATCAACATTCCGAATTGCCAGCATTTCTGATTATGTAACATTTTCTTCACTGAGTGTGAAACTAAGTATCTATGAAAAAAGTATTCAACGGCACAAACTGCATACATACAATGTACGCTGCCTCGTCTTAGAAGACAACTTGGAATTAAGGGGACTTTAAAAAAAAAGATACAGAGTAAATGAATTTCTCCCAAAGTTGTACGGCTAATAGTTTTCCTCATTTGTTTTTAAATCATACAAGCAATGAATACATACAATCTTGTAAATTTTTTAAACAATACGTGTATAATATAAAAAGAAAATTCACTTTCATCCCATTCCTCAAATCTGATCCCCTATCCAAAAAAAATCATTAAAGAATCTGGTACTTTTTCTTCTACAACCTTTTCAATGCACGTTTCTATGTATTGACACATATATATACATGTAACGTTTGGTTTGATAATGGTGCCTGATCTCCCCTCACCCTCCTGGCTACTCACTTACGTCTTATAATACATACCAAGAACCAAAAGAAGATCAAGTTAAGTATAAAGGATTTTCGACAGAGTCAAAGATCAACTTTTATTTATAACCAAAATCCCGGAACTAAACAACAACAAAAAACCCTAACATCGAAGCACAATCTCTTCAAAAAAAAAAAACCCAGTGACACAAGCTTAAATTAAAAAGTATTCTTTCATTAAGTCCCCAAACAACCTACAATCGTGTGTGGGTTTTTAAAATACAAGCCCACAAAGAGCTTAACCATAAATGTCAATCATTAAAAAGTAAAGGAAAAAGCATCCCAAAGGATGGCTCAGGGAAGCGTCTGGCGGCGCCTCCCCTGCGCACTTACTGAGGCCTCTGTAAGACGTAGGTTAAGAGGAATGTGCGCAGTGACTCGACGCTCCCTCTCTCCAGGAGGATCCACTCGCGGACAACGGCCTCCATGACGGCTGTGGCAGCTTGAAAGAGGACGTAGTCTACCTTACTCGTTTCTAAGGAGGAAACAGACACCTTCTTCAAACAGCAGCTCACCTTCCCCTGAACATTCTGCATTTCTTAATTTTAAAGAGAACTTTCAGACAAGGAATGAGATGGTTACCTGTTCCTTTTTTATCCAGTGACCTTTGCTCTAGCACCACAAAGAGGTTAGTTCCTCTCAGAAGACACCTCAGGCAGGTGGCAGCTAATCACCGATCACAATTTTCACAAACTTTCCTCACCTCTCTTCAACTGTTACTTCCAAAGCATGAAGAACTAAAAAATAACACAGCTTTAAAAAAAATAAAATAAAAATATAAAGCAATCAGAAAATTTCCTAAGAGATTCTCACCCTGTGCAAAACAGAACTTTGTATCAGAAAAGTATCTAATAAACTAGTCTTTGAACATTACTATCTGCGAGGAGCCATGCTGTCAAAATATGTTTGTTCAGTAATTAATTAAGCTTTCAGCAGGATGGCCCATCTCCAATAGCAAGTTCAGAAATAAACACAATCATGTTCATTTTCTCAAAATGTTAAAAAAAAGGGGGGGGGGGATCACATTTACACAAGGTGAGAAGTTCTTGTGCATTTTCTGATTGCAATACTGATCAAACTGAGTAAAATCCCAAAGCTACACTCAGAAAGATCCAGCTTTAACTAGCAAGTTACAGTATCCGAACTAAGAACTGAATCAGGAGGGGAAAAAAATAGAAAATTAACATACTGAAGAAATATTTTACATTAATTTTCTATTTTTTCTTTAATTCAGCAATACCACTACAATCAGTTTCCAAATAGCATTATCAAAAGGGAGAAACAGTCAAAATGAAGTCAAGAAAAAGCAGAAATTTTTTGAAGCTCTACAAAATAACCATCATGCGAAACCCATGCAGAGTGTGATTCAACTCCTGGGTATTTGCCAAGATCACTAGACAGGAGTGCCTGGAAGCCCGAGAAATACCTCTAGGCACAGAATAACACCTTCAAGAACTTCTCAGAAGAGTATGAAGATACAGGCAGGCACATCATTTTCTCTCCATTTCAAGCACAGATCATTTAAAAATATTACAAGTGATCTTGACACAATTTTCTATAAAAATGTGCGAGAAAAGGTATGCCTACATCAATTCCTATCACACTAGACTGCAGCACGGGAGTTTTGAACATATTAAAACTAGTAAGAGGAACCAATCTGGACCTTTATTTTTTTTTAAGTTTGATTAGTCCATGCCATCTTAACATGAATTCTAATTGAGATGGTAATCAGAACTCACAAAAATTTAGAAACCTTAAAATATAATGAATAAATAAAGCAACAGCTTCCAAAAATGTAAACCTATTATAAAAAGATGTGTTTAAAGTTCCAGGAGAAAAACAAAAAGTGTTTTATTCAAAGAGGACTGGAAACAGAAACCAGTTCTATCTATTTTGCTCACTAAGGAGAAATATGGTACTGCCTCATAAAGGTAATTCAAATCATCTCTTATTATAAACCTCTTCTTGAAAGAAAATGATGGTTGTTTGCCTATCTGTACTTTCTACTGAAATCGTAAACATTTTAAGGACCTGAAATTCTTAACCATGGATTTTAACAAGGAAGCAAAATTGTAGGGACTCATAGAATTTTAGAAATAGAACTTCGAAGATCATCTAATCCGATCCCTGCACTTGACTGTGAGAGGAAACTGCAGCCCGCGTGGCTGGGTGGTGTCCTCTGGTGACACGCGCCTTGCCCTAAGCGCAGGTGCCAACTAGACAAGGCCCAGCACATACTCCTGCTTCTCGTGAGCAAGGAAACACGCTCCTGTCTAACTCCCTGTGCTTACAGCCTAGCTTTTTTCTGCCCCCTCCCCTTTTTTGCAAGGGTCAGTAGGGGTACAATTACAGAAAGTAAATCACATTCAGAAGTTTTCAAGATACCTCTTTTCCTTAGATTTCTCTGTCTGGTATCAATGAAGATCTCTAAATTACTATTCCTATAAGAAACTGTCTCTAAGAATGGAGGAATCTGAAAAAAAGAAGCCAGATTCCAAAATTAAAAGTTTTCCTAACCTAATAAATTACACTTTCTCATAAAAACTGCCATTGGCCTTCATAGACTGCACTTAAACACAACAGAAATGTGCAGAAGATGCTCGCCGGAGCTCCGGAAGCCTGCCAGCGGAGGATGAGGACTTGACACAGACAGGAGCCTTATTCTTGCTTCCTGCTGGAAAGATGCTCCAAATTGCAAGGTCCTTGTGCAGAACTCACAGTTCATCTAGAATTCTAATACTCTTAGGGATGATTTCCCACTGACTAGGACACTGTTTAGACAACAGTTTAGTTTAAGCCACTTTAGCAGGAAGCTTTCACTTCCTACCACAGTAACTCTTTAATAATAATTACGTAAATAAAATTCACACACATCTTGTCGGCCATCTGAATTCGAGCCAGGAAGACTAAAGCGAGAGTGAAAGTAAGGGCCAAGAGGAAGAGCACTGCGTTCTGGCTTCCGGCAACTACGCTCCCCTCTCCGGCCCTGGGGCTCCTGTCCAAAGCAGAGGCAACGTAAGCTGCACAGTGACACACGCAAGCACACCAACAGTAATGGAATAAGTCTCAGGCTCGTTCTGTTTTGTCTCGGCTACCTCCAAGATAAGAAACGAAAGAAATCCTTTTCTCCCTGAGAAAAGGGCAAAAGGAAGCTGCTAAGTTAGCTCCAGAAGTGCTGGACCGACCCCTCAAGGTCTGGGGGTATTTCTTTAACAAGAGCAGAATTCACAGGTTTTTTGAAGGAACACCTGACCCTATAAAACTGGTAAATTCCTAAGTGCCAAAGACTTCTGAGGCCAAGAGGTCTGAAAGTGCTCTTCTAACAAAACGCACAAGCATGCAACATGCACACGCACGCACGTACACAAACACACAGAAAAGAGCAAAGAAATTAAAACTACAGTGAAAACAAAAGAATAAGACGAGAAAGAAATGAGATAAAATGAGAAACATAATAAAACTTAAGTTAGAAGTGGGAAGGAAGAATTTTAAGAGGCCAGAAAAGGGAAGCATCCAAGAGAAAGTCTCCCCTCATTAGAATCTATCACCCAGACATTCTATAAAAATGACTTATAATCCCGAAATAAGAATGTGAAAATTCTGGATTGCGATCGACTGCCACGTGCATGAGAAGTCTTCTTAGAGGAATTAACCTTTCTGGGCTGGTGGCAACTGAGTAAGGAGTTAAGATTTTCTGTGAAGTTTAGATGTAAACATTAATGTAACACAAGGCTTTGCAGTACATTAATGATTATGCTTATTTCACATGCACCCAACCTTTTAAACAGTTAATGTCTCAAAACCCAAACTGCTTCCAATAGCGCGGCTGGAACTAGCAATACTATTCTTTAGAAATTTTTATCAGGAAAACAAAAGTATTCTAAAACAAGCTCACATCATAACAAAGCAATAGTTCTTCATAAAATATACATACTCTAAAAAGGAAAGAGTGGTATAAACAAATACACTCTAATAACATACTTATCACTTAGATCGGGTATTTCCAGCTAGCACAGAAGGACAACTGAGTCACAGTCAGTCGGAAGTCAGATGAAACACCGCTGGGACCCTGTTTATGCAGCGAGGGCACAGCCACAAGAGCCAGACTCAGATCATCTGAGGTTTCTACATCTATTAATGCTCAGCAGTTTCAAGGCAGTAAGGATGAAGTAAGGCTCCCTTAAATTCTTAATGATGTTTAGTTTTGCTTCTTTTAATTTAACACTGAGTTATTCTCCACAAGATAACAAATTTCCTTAGTGCCAGAAGCAAATTCAACCGAGTATAAAAACAGACTACTCAAAAAAACCCGAAAAACAAAAATCCCCGCCTCATTTAGAATTAAAGGTGGTTATTAAACTGCTTCTCTAATGTAAGATCTAACTCCTGAAGGAGACAAGGCCGCCTTTACCGCCGATGCTAGCTCCGTGCAGAGGACAGAGCATTTTTCAAAGGCCATCTGAAATGAAGTAACGGGGCAATGACATTTACATGACTGTTCACAAAGTGCTTTCATATGTTACTACATCTGCACCTCACTACGACTTAAGACAGTCAAGTCCATTTAAGGCAAACGACATCATTATGCCCATTTCACAGATGAAAAAAGGGCCTGAGAGGTGAAGTGACTTCCTCAAGCTGCTTCCAGGCCGCAGGCACCCTGGCGCCCGGCCCTGCCCACTGAGCCCCACAGTCCTCGCCCCAGCCCTGAGCTGGAGAGCACTCTGCACACAGAGCTGGAATGGCAGGCTGTTTCCATCCAGAAACCAGAGTGCTGGTGGCTACGGATTAGTCTTCCTAAAAGCACAAGGATAAAAGGTCAGATAGTTTAGTTTCTAACACTCAACTAACCAATTCTGTGGTCATGGACAACTCAAATAGCCTCCTTTTCTAAGCCTTCAATATGGGTTACAAAAAAAGTGGCTCCAATTAAGAAAAACAGCCAACAATTATCAGATTATAAAATAACAATAACCAATGAAATCTCTCTTAACTATTATTGAAAAATACCTAAGAGGCAGAGAAAATGCCATCTCTGAATAAGTTATGACTTCTGTGATAATTTTTAAAGGAAAGAGATCACTTCCATACATATGTCAGACATAAGGTACTCACAAAACATTTTTTACAAGACTTAAAAATCAATGCTTCATTTTAGGACATACGATGAAGATCCTACACATAACTAACCAATATTCACTAAGCGAGCTGAGTACAAACTACATGGTTTTTAAAAAATGATGAAAAAACAACTAAAAGAAACTGTAGAAACCCCCCAAAATAATCTTAATTTCAAAACACTGGAATACGTTATAGTACATTTCCTGTAAGTGATATCATACTTGAAAACAACAGAAAAAACATTAGATTTTCCTCCCACCATTAACAGCCTTGATATTACGGTCAATAATAAAACAACTTATTGAATGTTTTATTTAAGGAAGAAAAATCCAAAGCAAAATCAGAGTTTTCTCTCTGGCTTTATGGAATATCTTTAAAGCCACTTCAGTGGAATGATTATTAATGGAAAATTATAACTGTACAAACCTGCTTATTTTTAAAGGAATTTAAAATATCTAAAGTTCAAGATAGAGAAACTAGGTATTTTTAAAGTAAACACTTACCCAAAATATGCTTGCAAACTGCAAATGGTGATTTTGATTTCCTAAATGATAAGAATATATGCTCAGCATGCTGGCGCTGCTCAGTGTTAACCATGGAAGGTGGTGCCTTGAGATTTAAAAACAAACACAAACACAGAGCACACTTGTTTAATAAGGAAGCTTGAACAATAGCAATCCTTTTACCCACAACAAGAGAAATACTTTCACTTTCAGGGGACTACGGGAGTACAAATTCTTGCTTAATTTTTCTTAAGTAACTATAGTATTTAACTTCATGATAAATATTTAAAATACAGTTTCAGGGAAAAGAAACAAATTCCTGACAAGGTTTGGATCAGAATCCTTTCAAGTTGCCTACATTTAAGAAAGATATATTTATTTAACATCTTTTTGTAATTTTTTAAAAAAACATAGCCTACTCACTGCCTTTTATTCCGAAATATACCACTCCATCTAAACTGACCAAGTTCAAATAATTTCTATTCTTCAGCCCTGGTGAAAATGAATCCAAAATTACTAAAAATTGAACTTCTAAAAACAATCCTTTAAGATAGAAATATTATCAGATAATTCTACCTCTAGTTTTCTAAAATCACTATTAAACCAGAAAAATTAGGAACAGCGAAGTTTGGAGTTTACCAAACTCCTTTCTGAATAATCAATTAATCAGCCAGAAAAGCCAGCCTTCTCTCTCAACAAAAACAGCTCCTAAAAGTCTGCTCAGGTTTTTAAATTCCATTTTGTTCTAACAGTCTTTCTTCCAAAGATAATACTCTTCTGAACAGCGCTACCTAAAATATACATTACTAAAATATACTTTCAAAGGTTATCTTTGACCTTACTGAGACCCATCTGAAGAGAAGGAGAAGAGATTGCTTATACAGCATACAGATCAAAATATCAGATTTCTCAATTTGGGAGGGGAGGGGAGGGTGAGGGGAGTTGGCAGGAAAATAAACCTTTGTTATTGTAACCAATATAAAGTGGGGAAATCATCATTTCAACTGTATTCAAAGACTCTGGAAGATGAAAAACATAACCAGGTATATTAGATTAATATTCATTACAAACTATATCAATTATGCAACATTAGTTACTCTACTTTCAGTTAAAATAGAAAAAAAAGAAGTAAATCCAAGAAAAATTAACTTTGATTCTCTTGCCTAAAGGAATTCTTATAAATAGCTAAAGCCAGTTCAGACTACTATTCCTAATGATATAGCACCCTCTACAGCTCTCTAGATAAAAATGAAAATATTTCCATTAAAGAACTACGTTAAATAGATAACAAGGATTCACTGTACAGCACAGGGAATTACGGCCATTATCTTGTAATAACCTATAATGGAATATAATCTACAAAAATACTGAGTATGGGGGCTTCCCTGCTGGTGCAGTGGTTAAGAATCCACCTGCCAATGCAGGGGACACAGGTTTGATCCCTGGTCCGGAAAGATCCCACATGCCGCGAAGCAACTAAGCCCATGTGTCACAACCACTGAAGCCTGCGCGCCTAGAGCCCGTGCTCTGCAACAAGAGAAACCACACCGCAATGAGAAGCCCGCGCACTACAACAAAGAGTAGCCCCCGCTCGCTGCAACTAGAGAAAGCCCGCGAGCAGCAACGAAGACCCAATGCAGCCAAAATTAAATAAAATAAATAATTTATTAAAAAGATAAATAAGAAATGATAAAATCACCTAGAAAAGTAATACAATAACAAAACAAAAATAAATCAGCACTATTACATTATCCTCAACTTTTTTACTACGTTGCTCAGAGTATAACATGATCTTTCAGCAAGGTATAAATGAAATCTGGGAACACCATCTTTGTAGTCTTTTTTTTTTTAAGGTTTCATTGAAGAGTGTTGGGAATTGAGAATTTTCTACCCATAATGACAAAGAGAAAAAAACTGATAAGGAAAGGCATTTCACAATTAAGAGATAAGTCAGAAGCTGAATGCAAAAAGACATACAGCAGCACACTAAACCTGCACTGTCCGAAACAGCAGCCACTAGCCACATTTGTTAAAATTAAATTAAACAAAAAAAAATTCAGTTCCTTGGCTGCACTGGCCACATTTCAAGTGCTTAATAGCACTCGTGTCTGGTGGCTACCACACTGGACAACACAGATTCAGAACATTCCTATCACTGCAGAAAGTTTTAACAGACAAACTCCATTAACGATGATAAAACTAATCATGTAAGTGTAACCTCAGAACTTGAGTCTTGAGATACTGATATTCTAGATCAGTGGTTCTCAACTGAGGCAACTTTGTCCCACAAGGGACATCTAGCAATGTCTGGAGACATTTCTGGTTGCCACACTGGGGAGTGCTATTGGCAACTAGCGTATAAAGGGCAGGGACACTGCTAAACATCCTACAATGCACAACCCAGCCCAAAACACCAACAGTGACAAAGCTGAGAAACCCTGCCCCAGGTGAATTTTCTCAAGCTCAAGAATCAGTGAATGAACAATATACTTCCAAGGACAAAAAGGAAACATGCTATTCTCATCCAGTCAGTCATTACGCTAGAATTACTTTATTACCCAATATTCTGTGACAATAACTGGAACCAGCTTGTTTTGCTAAAAGGATATGACAGTATTTTTTACTCTCTTACGATATCTGTGTAAAAAGTTTGCTCGATACAGTTCATTAAAGGATAAATGCTAAAGGCAGGTGTGTATACAAAGATAATTAAAAAAAGTAATTGTCTCGCTCATTCTAACTGGTGTCTATAAATCTAAAAATAAAAATGACTCACAATTAGGAAGCAAAAAATATGGTCATCTTCTGTTCATCAATATTATATGCCATTGGGACCTCCCTGGTGGCGCAGTGGTTAAGAATCCGCCTACCAATGCAGGGAACATGGGTTCGAGCCCTGGTCCAGGAAGATCCCACATGCCACGGAGCAACTGAGCCTGTGCACCACAACTACTCAGCCTACGCTCTAGAGCCCGCGAGCCACAACTACTGAGCCCACGTGCCACAACTACTGAGCCCACGCGCCTAGAGCCCGTGCTCCCCAACAAGAGAAGGCACTGCAATGAGAAGCCCGCGCACCGCAACAAAGAGTAGCCCCCACTTGCTGCAACTAGAGAAAGCCCGCGCGCAGCAACGAAGACCCAACACAGACATACATACGTACATAAATAAATAAAATATTAAATGCCATCAATGTTTTCAAAAGTATTGTTTTGATGATTCTAAAGCAGGAAAAAGAATCAGAATAATAAGCGAAAATGTATTAAAGATTCATCTGATGTCTAGAATCAGTACTACATTTTGAGGGTGAGAATGTAACAACCAGGAGTAGAGACAGGACCCATGAAGAGTATTTGAAACCTGGACTCAATATTTACAGAGCAGAAGATGAACGCAAAGAGATACAGTCACACTCCAGACTCGCGCAGCCCAATATGGCAGTCCCTACCCCCACTGACTATGTAAATTAATTAAAGTAAAAAATTCAGTTCCTCCTCTGCACAAGGCACGTTTCAAGAGCTCAACACCTACATGTGGCTACTGGCCACCACACTGGAGAGTGCAGATATAGAAGGCGCTACTCTTGAAGAAAGTTAATTAATTCAACAAATATTTACAGAGTGCTTACTATAAGGTCACCTAGATTCACATGATGTGACGCGATGTCATGTGATAGATTAATGTATGAAACAACTGCCTCACCCCTGGAGCGCTGACTATGTACGAGGCGCTGCTCTCAACACTGTCCTCTTAAGGTAAGGGAAATCATTTAATCTACACATTAACTCCCTGGAAATAATTATTTTCCTAGTTTAGAGAAGAAGAAACAGACGCATAGAGGTTAAGTGACTTGCCAAATGTCACACAGCTAGTCACGGGGTGGAGTCAAGAGGAATGCAAACAGTCTGGCTCCAGACTCTCTATGTTCTCCTGCTGCTCAATTCCTAAATGTCAACACTGCTCCATGTGTGCTGCCTAGTCTAGCAATAGGGGGATTTTTCTAACATCTTATCTATCATACTACCGTTGTTTTCTAATTAGTTCTCTAATTCCTGCCACAAATCCACAAAATATAGATAGACCAGCAAGATTGGGGTCAAATAATTTTATATTAAAACATGGATATATTATGGACTAGAATAAAATTTCTATTAACCTTTTCTGAAATATTTTATTTATTTGGCTGTGCCAGGTCTTAGTTGCATAGTTGCAGCACGTGGGATCTAGTTCCCTGACTATGGATCGAACCCGGGCCCCCTGCATTGGGAGCGTGGTGTCTTAACCACTGGACCACCAGTGAAGTCCCTCTATTAACTTTTTAAGATAAAAATTGAGAAATTTTAGCTTATACAAGCTGTTTTGGTGTACTCCCTAGCTCCCGCCAAATATATATTCACTCTCTTTTTACCATAAGAGTCACCTTAGCAGTAAAACAAATTTTAAGAATATTAATATATTCCCTTCCACCCTGGCTTTGTTCAGAGTCTCATCATCTCTTTGCAGAACAACTTAACAGCCTCCTAACTGGTCTTCCACCTCACAAATTGCTTCCCTCAGATGAGATTTTCACACTGCTGTCAGAGTGAAACCACAGAACTGACATGTCACACTACAGGGTGAGTCCAAGCTAATTATTGTGCAAATAAGACCTTACATAGCCCAGCCCCTGCCTATTTCTCTAGGCTCATCTCCCTTCCCCCTTTATTCATTTCTTTCATTCAACAAATATTACCAAGCAACTACTATGTGCAAACAAGGTCCCTAAACTAACACATACTAGCATCTAGCTAGGGAGACCAACATTCATTAATTAACCACACAAATAAATGTAAAATTCCAGATGGGGCAGGTGTTATCTAAGTATAGGACAGGTGAGTCTCACCTTTCTGAGAAGCTAAGGCAGGCTTTCCTGAGAAAGCGACTATGGGGAGACCTGAAGGATCAGGTGAGAGAGAGGAAGAGCGTTTTAGGCAGAGGGAACAGTGTATGAAAGGTTCTGTGACAGGACCAAGGACAGGAGAGGGAAGGATGGAGAAAGAACTAGTGTGGCTGATGCAGAAAAAAAGATGGGAGAAGGGTCCTCAGAAGCTGGAAATATGGGCTTCCC